TTTCAAAATAAGGACTTAGAGGATGATGAGTTCAGTGATGACCAAGTTGAAGATCTAGAATACTCTCCCAACATCTAAATTTTTTTCCTGGTTTATCTTCTCCATTTAATTACTTTATGAATATTATTTATTGGAATTGTAGAGGTTCTTGTGCTAAAAGCTTCCCTAATCAGATTAAAGAAATAACTAAAACTTATAATACTCAAATCCTTTTTTATTGGAAACTAAAGCTAGTGGAACTAGAGTTAACAACTTTATTAGAAAACTTAGTTACTTTGATTGGTTACATGTGGAAGCTACTGGCTACGCTGGTGGCATCTGGCTTTTATGGAATAATAATATTGTTAATATTGATTATATCTATTATAATGTTCAATTGCTTTACTGTAGGGTTAACATTTTAGCTAATAATTATAGTTACATGCTTTCTTGTGTTTATAGTGACCCTATCTACCATAATCGTGATCTCCTCTGGGACTCTATTATCTCTTTAGCTCAGAATACTTCTGACCCTGGTTTGTTGTTGGTGATTTTAACTCTTATCTTTCTTGTAAGGATAAGTCTGGAGTGATAACTATAATTGAAGATCTATGAAATAATTCAAACACTGCATTAATTCCTCTAATCTTCTAGAATTAAATTATCATGGTGAAAGATTTACTTGGGAGAAAGGTAAGATTAAAGAACGACTGGATTGGGCTTTTTGTAACATAAATTGGCGACTTAAATTTCATCAAGCTGATTCTTTCCACTATATCAAATATGGATCTGACCATCGCCCAATTAGAATACAACTTGAGAAGAAAGATCATCATCGGCATCACACTATACCTTTTCATTGTCATGCAGCTTGGATGCTTGAAAAATCCTTTTATCCTTTAGTCAAGGAATCTTGGATAACTGAAGATTGGATTGAAGGAGTGACTAATTTTGCTACTGTTGCCCCCAATTGGAATAAGGATAAAATAGGCAGTATTTCTTATAAAAAGAATAGAATTCTTCGTCGCTTGGAAGGTATTGATAAGAGTAAAAACTCTAAAGACAATTACTTCCTTAGGAAATTAGAAAAATTCCTTTGGGAGGATTATAACCAAATGCTCTTATAGGAAGAGCTTATCTGGTTTCAAAAATCTAGATAAAAGTGGTTAAAATGGGGAGACTAGAATTTTGAATTTTTTCATGCAACATCTATGATTAGACACAAAAGGAATCAAATTTTATCGCTTAAGATGAAGAGGGTAATTGGGTCTAGGATCAGAACAAGTTGAATATCATGGCTATTTCTTATTTTGATAACCTCTTCAAGGAAGATGTTAATGTCAAACCTAAGCTTGTTACTAAAAGCAATTTCCCCCTTCTTTCTTACATTTAGCTACAATCTTTATACAGAGAAGTGTCCGATGAAGAAATTAAGAATGCTACTTTTGATATTAGAGCTTTCAAAGCTCTGAGTCCTGATAGTATCTACGTGGGTTTCATTCATACTTATTGGGATGACCTGAATAATAGCATTATCAAATTTGTCAAGAAGGTCTTTAGCGATCCTAATTCTATCGAGTTGGTTAATGACACTTTTATCACTCTAATCCCTAAGAATGACTATCCCACCAACATGAAAGACTTTCATCCCATATCTCTTTACAATGTTAGCTACAAATTATCACTACAATCCTCTCCAATAGCCTTCGGGCTTATATGAATAATTTAATTAGTGATAATCAATGCAGCTTCATTCAGGGCTTACAAAGCAGTGATGATATCATTATTGTTCAAGAAATTATTCATTCCATGAGAAGGAAAACAAGTAAAAAGGGCTTCATGGCTATTAAAGTGGATCTTGAGAAGGCTTTTGACAGATTATTGTGGAACTTCATCAATGACACCCTCAAATCCATTGGGTTAAACACAACCACTTTAGAAAACTTATTTAGGCGGCCATTTCTACCTCTTGTATACGAGTCCTTTAGAATGGAGAGCCTTTTATGAAATTCACGCCTTCTTGAGGCATCCGTCAAGGGGATCCCCTTTCTCCTTATCTCTTTGTCCTTTGTATTGAATGCTTAAGCCATTGCATTAACAGTAGCATTAATAATAATGAATAGGCCCCGATTAGGCTCACAACTAATGGGCTGCCGATTTCACATTTATTTTTTGTTGATGATCTTCTTCTTTTTGCAGAATACTCTCTCCCCCAAGCTATGATCATGCAACAATGTCTATCTGACTTTTGCAATGCATCCAGGAAAAGATAAATGCTAATAAATCTAAGCTTTTTTGTTCAAAGAATGTTAACATCAATAGAGCCATGCAAATAAGTAAAGAGCTAGGAATTCCTCTCACAGGAAACCTTGGCAAATACCTAGGAATTCTTATAATTCACGAAAAGGCATCCAATCTTACTTTTGCATCTCTTCTCGACAAGACAAATACCCGTATGACAAACTGGAAGAGCCATTACTTGAACATAGCTGGGAAATCTATTCTTATCAAATCTGTTCTTTCGGCTCTTCTTAACTATATCATGCAAACTATACTTCTTCCTGATAATGTCCTATCTGAATTGGAGAAGATTTCTAGAAATTTCCTTTGAGACTCATCTGATGGTATCAAAAACCCCCATCTTCTTTCTTGGGATTGCATTACCAAGGACAAAAAAGATGGGGGCCTTGGTCTTAAGAAACTTAAAAAGCAGAATACTGCATTTATCATGAAACTTTACTGGGGCCTCATCACTAAACCCAATTGTCTTTGGGTGCATATCCTTCATGATAAATACAAGTGCAATAAACCTAAAATTCTGATGGTTGTCAAACCTAACTCTTGCTCCTATACTTGGGGCAGTATATGCAAAGTTTGGGATAAATTTATAAGCCATGTTAGTTAGAAAATTGGTAAAGGAGATGATATATTCTTTTGGTATGATAAATGGTCTCTACTCCAAGAGCCTCTAGTTAGTTATGCTTTCTCTAATGTTAACTCTATCCTTCATGCAAGCGTCTCTGATCTTTGCAATAATGTTAAAGGATGAAACTTTGATCTCCTAAGCCACTACCTTCATTTTGATGTGCTCAAGTAAATTTCAATTGTTCAACCTCCTAATTAGCAGAATGAAGATGATGTTCCTTTCTGAAGACCCTCTTTTGATGAAAAATTTTCTATCAAATCTACTTACAGAGCCTTAAATACTCAAAAGGACCAAAATCACTCCGATATCTGGTCTATGATTTGAAAGTGGTCTACTTATGAAAAAATAAAATATTTCCTTTAGAAGGCTACTTGGAACTGCATTCAAAACAACTACTCTCATTCTATAGGACACTCTCCATAACAACTACTCTCATAAACTACAATCACTCTGGAAGTCATCCTCTCTTTGACATCATTACAAAAATCACAGATCTCATAATGAGGGATTGGATCGTCATGTTTGATCATGTTTATAGAGATTTAAATAGATGTATTGATTATTTGGCCTACAAGATATCTCACGATAATTTTGATATTATAATCTTTGATGTTCCTCCACATGCTTGTAGAAGCCTCTTGGCTCTAGAAATGATTAGATCTTAATCTATTTGCATAGCTTGCTGTAGCCATGTATTAAAAAAATTATTTTTTATTTTAATAATATAATAATTTAAATATTATTATTTATAAGTTGTTCTACAAATCAACTAGCTCTATTTCAAGTTGCGTGACATATAAGTTTAGTTCATTACCTTGGCTTCCATGCCTTAGGCGTTGGCATTCAAAATCTTATGGAAGATTGTTCACTGAATCAAAACTTTTACGATTCAATTCTATGGTTGCCAGGCTTCAATCATATCATCATGAACTAGTTACTATGTTGTCTCTTTACGTCAATGAAGCGGGTTCAACTAAACATCATTTGCATGATCATGGCCAGCAAAAAAACTTGGGCTTTTGGAGCTTTGGGTTGTTTATTTTTCAAACTTTTGGAATCTATATGTTTCATGTGGTTCCTTCAGTCTTGTTTGTTTTTAATGTACTTAATTGGAGCCAAGTTTTGGTTGAGTCAAAGTAGCTTGTTTGATTTTATTGAAAAAAAAAATCTACAAATTCTTATATTTTTATATGATTTTGAATTATACCCTTATAGTTTATTTTATTTTAATCAATCCTCAATAGATCAAATATGTTGGCATGAAATTGTTAAAATCCTTTAATTTTCTCTTTTTTCAAAAAATGAAATTAAGGACTTCTACACGTTTATTATATAATTTTAAAATTTTTATAATTCAAAATTTATATAATTAGATTATATTTTCTAGATAACTTTTAAATATATAGAATTTGCACAAAATACTAAACATGTAAGTATTTTATTTAATCAAAATTTCTGGGGTAAAAGTATTCAATTATATTTTCGATAAAGTCTAAAAGCTTTTTTATTTTGAAAAATTCAATTGTTCAATAATAATTTTAACTTTCTGAACTAATACATTTAATCAATCAAACTATGAGGGTTTCATTAAAACAAATTTAATTATAGAGACCTAATTAAAAATTGAGGAAAACTAAAAGACCAACAAATTAATTTTTCCTAGTTTCTTTATAATTTTAAATTTTGATACACTTTAGTTATTTAAAGTATCAATTATTCTAACCCTCTTGTTCTTCCCTTGGTTTCATTTCCCATGCATATCACTTGTTTTTTTACATTTGAATTTAAAATTTTTTGTACTATCTAAAAAAAATTTAAATATATGAATTTTAAATTTAATAAAATACAAATATGAATCAACCAAAACATTCTAATAAACCATATATTTCATAATGGATACTGATAATAAGTGTCACTTATTTCTTAATGCTGCCCTGCCATGCGGGTTAAGAACTTTAGATTTAAGATGATTTAATTAATAATTAATTTTAGCTTAGCCATGAAGGTAAAAAAAAAAAAAAAAGCGTTCAGGTAAAAAAAAAAAAAAAAGTTAGCCAGCGCTGGGAAAACAAATAAAAAATTGCGCTTCTTCTCTTCAAGGAACCAGATTTCTTCATAGCTCTTTCTGGCGCCTTCGGTTTCTTTCGCGTCTCTCCCGTTAGGGTATACACCTTTGCGGTTCGTTTGGGCAACGCCCTACCGGCAAGTTTTGAATTTCGAGATTGTTCGGTCAGTGATCGACTGTTAGTTGCAGAAGATGAAGATTTTCGTCAAGACTCTTAAAGGCACTCACTTCGAAATTGAAGTGAAGCCCGATGACACGGTTCGCCTACTTTCCCCCCACTTTTCTGTCCAATCTAGTATCTTTTAATGTTTTTACTTATCGTCATATCGCAACTCGGTATTGCTTTCTTGATTGTTTCAGGAGTCTTGGGTCATGGGGGTGGGGGAAGCTCTTAAATTGGGTGATAATTAGGGTTTTAATTTTACTCTAATTTTGATCATTTTGATGGGTTTGATCGGTTATTTATATTTCAGTCGTTGTTGCATTTCATGGGCAATTAGAAAATCCTCGTCTAAATACTTGTCAAATTATTGGTGAATTTAGCCTTTAAATGGAATTACTCTGGTTGGGAGCTATTGCTCTTGGATGAGTGAAATATAATAGGGTTGTAACTTCAAATATTCAATGACTGGTTTGTCCTCCAAACTGCTTCAGTTCTCTACCATCTTACGGAATACGGATATGATAGTGGTCTTGCATAGTGTGTGGATACTGCACTAGTCTACTTCTTAACGAGAAATCTTTTCTGGATAGCCTGGTGATATTGACACATGATAACGAGATGGTTTGGCACTGTTAAGGCCTCACGTCATGATAATTTTAGAGCAGTTTGTGCTGATATTTACATAGTCAATTAGTGTTTTAAAGTTATGTTTAGTGCGTGGTTATTTAAAATTTATGCTTTAAAGCTTCTTTATTCTCTCCCTATTTGCATGTCAATTCTGAAATCGCAAATTTGATCGATTGTGAATGAGTGCGCCAAGATGCAAGTCTAGGTATTGAACTGGGTATTTAATCATCGTAGGTCTTTTTATTAATAAATTTGTTGCATGTCTATTAAAGTATCAGATCAGAAATTCGTGCATCTCCTCAAAGGATGTGAAGATGATATAGCATTCTTTTTGTAACAAGTGATGTATATTTCAGGTTGGTGCCAGTATGTTTATCGAACTTCAAAGTACCATGGGTAACGGATAATTTTAAGGACTTTTGAATAATTTTTACAGTTGAGCAAATGAAAAGACCATTAATTATCTCTTATAATTGCTAGCTACAATGGTAACCTGACATTTGAATCAATTGTGTGAATAGTGAGCTGGGAGAAAGATGTCGTTAATTAAACTTGGTGGTAGCCCTTTTAATATGCAACAGTTTCTGTCCCTCGCTTTTTGGCATAGATTCTAACTGTTGAATTTAAGTAAAGATACCAAACCATCTAATGGAAGAAAAATGCTTATATGTGAAAACTCATCTCTTTCTTATGTGTTGCATGACTGTCTCTTTGTAAATCCTCTATCTTGTTATTTTGCATCCGAGTTATTATTATATTTAGTCTTGTAATGGACTATCAGTTGTCGATATTCTTTTCAGGTTACTGAAGTGAAGAAAAATATAGAAACTGTTCAGGGTGCAGATGTCTATCCCGCTGCACAGCAGATGCTTATCCATCAAGGGAAGGTTCTCAAAGATAGCACCACCTTGGAGGAAAATAAAGTAGTTGAAAACAGTTTTGTTGTAATTATGCTTTCTAAGGTAAAAATTTCTTGTTGGTGAATATAAACTGTCTGGTCTTTGAGATCTCAAACATTATTATTTGGCTGAATGCATAGTTGACTAAACTTAAAAAACTAGATATGTATCAATGGGATCTGGGATGGTAATAGCAGTGTAAGAATTTGCCAAGGACTATGACGAAATTACCTGTTTTTGCAATTGATTGCAGATTCTGCCACCCTGTTCACGAACAGATTTAGCCAATTAGTCTCTATTCCAATGGCAACAAGCTTATGCCCAAGGAGTAGCAGACTAATCAATGAGGGGAGCTGGGTATGATGAGATTTTGGGGAATAGATGGTTGGGGCACCCACAAATTTTAAGATTTTAGATAGTTTTTTTTTTTTTTAATTTTCAGTGTAGTTTGTAGGAGGATCTCATTTATGCACAAAAGAACTATTAAAACTTAAAGACCTTTTATTTTATTATGAGTTCTAAGAGATTGATACAATCGCATAAAATCCTCTCAATAAAATAAAATAAAATAAATAAGGAGATACTAATATGAATCCTAAAAGATAAAGCTGACCAAGATGATGATGATAATAATAATAATAGACTAAAAACCCTAGAGATAATGGGCTCAAAGGATAAAAGCCCAATTCCAACACTCCCCCTCAAGTTGGTGAATAAATGCTGATCATTCCTAGCTTGCTCACAAAATCTTCAAACTTAGTTCTAACAAGAGGCTTAGTCATCACATCAGCTACTTGTCTTCCGGATGAGATGTGTGATAGGTCTATGACTTTATTTTCTATCTTCTCTTTGATGAAGTGCTGGTCTATCTCAACATGCTTTGTGCGATCATGTTGGATAGGATTATTAGCAATCTTGAGTGCAGCCATGTTATCACACCACATCTTAATTGGGGCATTCACTGGTATCCCAAGTTCTTCCAATAACCTGCAATCCACATACCCTCGCAGGTTCTGTGAGACAAGGCCCTATATTCTGATTCTGCAGAACTTCTTGATACTACTGATTGTTTCTTACTCCTCCAAGTTACTAGGTTACCCTAGACAAAAGTATAGTACCCAGTTGTGGACTGTCTATCATTAATTCCACTTACCTAATCTGCGTCTGTATATATTTCCACATTTTTCTGTTCTTCTATGCCGGTTGTCATCTTGGTTGCATCTGTATAAATTTCTATACCCTTTTGATTATTCTTAGAAAAGAATAAACCTTTTTCAAGTGTCGTCTTAAGGTATCTTAGAATTCGATGCACTGCTTCCATGTGTTCTTTTTGAGGATTACTTGCGAATTGACTAACAACTCCCACTGCGAAAGAGATATCTGGCCTCATGTGAGACAAGTAAATCAACTTTCCCACGAACTTCTGGTACCTTTCTTTATTAACAGATTTTCCATCTGCTTTTACTTCCAATTTGCAATTAAGCTCCATTGGAGTATCTATAGGCCTAGCTCCTAGCATTCCAGTCTCCTTGAGTAAGTCAAGTGTATACTTTTGTTGTGATACACTAATACCCTTAGAAGATTGAGCTATCTCCATCCCAATGAAATATTTCATGCTTCCAAGGTCTTTCACCTTGAATTTTGTAGCCAATTTCCCTTTCAATTGTGCAATTTCTTCAGGATCACTGCTTGTTAAGACTATATCATCCACATAAACAATCAATATGGTTATTTTTGAGCCACAATGTTTAACAAACAAAGTGTGATAACCCTGACAATGTTTATAACCAAATCCCTTAACAGCATGTGTAAACCTCTCAAACCATGCCTGTGGGGATTGTTTTAGCCCATATAAGGATTTTCGGAGCTTACAGAATTTATTCACATTTTTAGGATCCCCCAAGCCTTAAGGGACTTCCATGTATACTTTCTCTTTCAAGTCACCATTTAAGAAGGCATTTTTGATATCTAAGTGATGCGAATGCCAATCTAAGTTTGCTGCAAGAGAAAATAGCACATTTATACTATTAAATTTAGCAACAGGTGCAAATGTCTCTTGGTAATCAAAACCATATGTTTGAGCAAATCCTCTAGCAACCAATCTCCCCTTATATCTATTAACACTCCCATCCGAATTATATTTTTTGGTAAAGACCCATTTGCTCCCCACAACAGACTTTCTGGGAGGTAAGCCAACAATCTCCCATGTTTGATTCTTACTCAAGGCCTTCAGCTCTTCTTCAATAGCTAATCTCCATTTGGGATCAGTCACAGCCTTATCAAAAGTATTAGGAATATCGTCACTATCAATACTTGCAACCAAAGCCTTAAACTGAGAGTTAAGTTTATCATAGGAGACATACTTGCCAATGGGATGTTGAGTACAGCTCCCTTTTCCTTTTCTTAAAGCAATAGGCCATTGGATATCTTTAGGACTGGTTTCAGGTTGAGAGTCATGACTTTGCCTTGGAAAAATAATGGGATTTTCTCTTCGCACCTGCTGACCAGGCTGATTCTCCCCTGATTCGTTCACAACAAACTCTAAATTTTGGTCTTGAAAGGCCATTGGTGATAGTTCAGGGTTGTCTGACTCAGATTCAGGTCTGGTGGGGTAATTAGGACAAGATTCAGGTGCTGTAGCAGAATCAGATTCAGGCAAAGTCAGGTGCTGTAACAGGTGGAACGGGTTCAGGTTGAGAAATAGAAGCATTTGGTAGTGTGTGAGATCCAGTGTTTGGGTTGCTAACTTGTGGGCTAGGTGAGCTATCACATATCAACCATTCACTATCACTCTCCCCCTGAATGAGTAATTTGGGATAGAACAGAAGAGTTTCAACAAACGGAACATCCAAAGTGACATGAGCATTTTGAGTGGCTGGAGAATAACATTCGTATCCCTTCTTTGTAGAAGAGTACAACAACAACAACAACAACAACAAGCTTTTTTCCCACTAAGTGGGGTCGGCTACATGGATTGCAAGACGCCATTGTGCTCTATCATTTACCAAGCTTTTAGGAATATTATTAATTAAGAGATCGCATTAAACAACTTTCAAGAGTGTTCTCTTAGGCCTTCATCTACCTCTCTTAATCGGACTCAAAGTTATATGTTTCACTCTTCTCACTGGTGCCTCCCTTGGTCTTCTTTGTACATGCCCAAAACATTTTAACCGATTTTCTACCATTTTTTCCTCAATAGGTGCCACCCTCACTTTTTCGCGTACGTGCTCATTTCGAATTTTATCTTTACGTGTATGTCCGCACATCCATCGTAACATTCTCATCTCTGCTACTCCAACTTTATGCTCTTGCTGTCCCGTTAGAGCCCAGCATTCACTACTATATAACATTGCCGGTCTAATAGCAGTGCGATAAAACTTTCCTTTAAGTTTATTAGGCACCTTACGGTCGCAAATAACTCATTTAGCTTTTCTCCAATTAAACCACCCAGCTTGAATTCTATGTGAAATATCTCCACTGATTTCGCCATCATTTTGAATAATGGCTCTCAAATATCTAAACTTTTCCACTTGAGGTATAATTTGATCTCCCAATTTCACTTCCAAATTATTATTGAATATTCCTTTACCAAATTTACAATATAAATATTCTGTCTTACTTCTACTCAGACGAAAACCTTTCGACTCCAATGTCCTCCTCCATAACTCAAATTTGCAATTAACCTTTTCTCTTGTCTCTGCTATAAGAACTATATCATCCGTGAAGAGCATACATTTCGGGATTTCCTCTTGAATATGTTCCGTCAAAACATTTAAAATCAAGTTGAACAAATAAGGACTCAGAGATGATCCCTAATGTAGTCCAATCTTTATAGGAAAATCCTTTGTTTGACCACTTGGCGTTCTTATACTAGTTTTTACCCCTTCATACATATCTTGTATGGCTTTAATATAAGCAATCCGTACTTTCTTTTTTTCTAACGCTTTCTAAAGCACTTCTCTTAGTATACGGTCATAAGCTTTTTCCAAATCAATAAAAATCATGTGTAGATCTTTATCTTTACAACGATACTTTTCCATTAATCCCCTTAGTAGATAAATCGCCTCTGTAGTTGATCTACTTGGCATAAAACCAAACTGATTCTCAGAAATACTTGTCTCCAATCTCAACCTGTGCTCAATTACTTTCTCCCACAATTTCATTGTGTGGCTCATGAGCTTAATCCCTCTATAGTTAGTACAATTCTGAATATCTCCTTTATTTTTATAAATAGGAATTAATGTACTTCTCCTCCACTCATCAGGCATTTTCTTGGACCGTAAAATTACATTAAATAACTTAGTTAACCATCTCACCCCTTCTTCACCTAAACAATTCCACGCTTCGATAGATATACAATCAGGTCCGTTGGCTCTACCATTTGCCATTTTCTTAAGAGCTTCCTTTACCTCCTTATCACGTATTATTCGATAGAATAACAAATTTTATTCTCCTTCACCAATTACTAAATCGTCCAAGTTATTAGATGAACCCTCTCCATCATTGAAAAGTTTAGAAAAGTAAGTCTCCCATCTATTTTTAATTTCATCATCTGTAACTAAAGTTCTTCCCTCTTCATCCTTAATACACCTTACCTGTTCTAGATCTCTTGATTTTCTTTCCCTACTCTTAGCAATCTTATAAATATTTCGCTCTCCTTCCTTCGTCTCAAGGCTCTTATAAAATTCTTCAAAAGCTTTAGAACGAGCTTCACCCACAGCTCTCTTAGTTTCCTTCTTAGCCATACAGTACCTCTCCTAATTTTCCTCATTGTTACACAAATGTATGGCTTTAAAACAGTTTTCTTATACTTGATTTTGTCCTGTACACTATTATTCCACCACCAAGACTCCTTATCTCTCGGACCAGAACCTTTTGGTTCTCCCAAAACTACTTTTGCAACCTCCCGTATCTTTTTAGCCATATCCTCCCATATGATGTTAGCACTTCCCTGAGATTCCCAAATTCCTTTATCCAAAAGATTTCGCTTGAAAATATCTTGCTTCTCACCTTTTAATTGCCACCACCTAATCCTTGGTGTTACTACTTGTCGACGTTTTTGGATTTTACTCATAATACACACATCAAGACTAGGATCCTATGTTGTGTCGTTACAGCATCTCCGAGGGTCACCTTACAATTTTTACAAAGTCTTCTATCTGTGTTCCTAATCAAAAGAAAATCAATCTGTGACCTTGAGACTCCACTTTTGTAAGTGATGAGATGCTCATCTCTCTTCTTAAAACAAGTGTTGGCAATCTTAAAATCATACGCCAATGAGAAATCAAGAAGAGTTTGTCCTTTATTGTTTAGCTCTCTAAAATCAAAACCACCATGCACTCTCGCATACTGACCAGCTTCCCTCCAACATGCCCATTAAAGTCTCCTTCAATAAAAATATTTTCACTCTGTGGTATATGTTGAATCAACCCCTCCAGATCTTCCCAAAATAATTCCTTAAGACTGACTTCTGTCCCGACTTGCGGCGCATAAGCGCTAACAATATTAACAGTCTCATGTCCAATTATCATTTTTAAGGAAATAATTACTCTTTGTAGAAGAGTAATCCTAAGAAAATACATTTAATAGACTGAGAAGCCAATTTTCCAGCCGAAGAAGAAAAAAAAAAAAACAGTATAGCCAAAGACACGCTTAGGAAGAGGGTTAAAAAGGTGAGAATTGGAAAAAGGCTAGAAATTTTTCAATAGGTGACTGTAATTTTAAGATTTTAGAGGGCATACGATTAATAAGACATGCAGCAATGAGGGCAGCATCCTCCCAAAAAAATATTCAATAGGTGACTGTAATTTTAAGATTTTAGAGGGCATACGATTAATAAGACATGCAGCAGTGAGGGCAGCATCCTCCCAAAAAAATATTAGAAACATTATTTCCTAGCAAAAGAGCTCTCGCCACCTCTAAAAGATGTCTATTTTTCCTTTCAGCCATCCCATTTTGTTGAGAGGTGTTCACACAAGATGTTTGATGGTGTATCCTTTTCTCAGTAAGGAAACTTTGAAAGTTTGAGTTAAAATACTCTTTCCCATTATCACTCTGAAGAACCTGGATAGAGGTCTGAAATTGAGTTTGAACAGAGGCGTGAAAATTTTTAAAAATAGAGAAAACCTCAAATTTGTCTCTCATCAAGAACAGCCACGTCAAATGGGTGTGGTCATCTATGAAAGTAACAAACCACCTAGCTTTTGATTTAGTAGCAATCCTAGATGGACTCCAAACATCACTATAAATAAGGGCAAAAGGTTTGGAAGGAACATATGGAGTTGAAGGATAAGAGGTGCGAGTTTGTTTGGCAAACTAGCAAATATCATAATAAAAATCAAACTTCTTTTTATTCATTGTATTGGGAAGCAGAAGTTTCATTTAATCAAAACTTGGATGACCTAACCTAAAATGTCATAACATAAAGTCTTCATGAGACATAGTAGAAAAACAAGAACTTGAATCAGCCATGTAGTCTTTATTTGAGGAGTTGCCTTCAAGATAATACAATCCACTATATTCCTTAGCATTGCCAATCGTCTTCCCCAAAGCCATGTGCTGAAAAACACACTTAAATTGGTCAAAAATAAAAAGGCAATTTAACTGGTGAGCTATACACTTCACAGACAGCAAGCTACACTGTATGTCAGGCACATATAAGATGTTTGTAAGGATTATATTGGGAGAAATAGTGACCGTGCCGATCCCATGACCTTGGCATGAGTATTATTTGCTATTTAAACACGGGTGTGTTTGGAATAGGGGCGAAAAACAGAAAATAATTCTTGAAAACCAGTAATATGATCTGTAGCTCCGAAATTAATGACGCAAATATTGTTTGTCCAAGAAATAGCACTTAAAGGGGTGACAAGTTTAGTACCTATTTGAGCTAAGGTAACAGAGGGAGTTTCTCACTTGGTTTTTCTTGAGAGTACTTTTCTATAATTCTTCATAGGACGAAGAGATCTTCATTATTGAGCATGTCACTGTCAGAGTTGTTTAGCATGAAGCCCTTCTTATCACCTTTAGATCATTGCTTTAGATGGGCTGGATTCCCAAGAATTTCCCGACACAATTCCTTAGTGTAACCATTTTTGTTATGATGATCACATGTAAGATGCTTCTTCCCTTTTCGCTTTCCACCCTGTTTTCCACGTGCCACCATGGCCGAGACCTCTGAACTTGGGGAAGGAAGAATAGAAGGAGTAGATGAAGGATTCTGAACAAGTTCTTTACGCATTTTCTCATACCTGATCATATTAAACGCATCTTCCAGGGATGGGATGGGCTTCATGCCCATAATTCATTCTCGAACATCTTCAAAAATATTGTTCAACCCAAGCAAGAACTCATAACAGCGTTCGCGATCGACCACTTGGTGAAAATAAACCTTGTCTGTATGGTAGGACCATTGGTGGACTTCATACAAATTGATTTGTTGCCATAGCCAAATGAGAGAACTATAGTAGAGAGTAACAGTTGTCTCCCCTTGCGTGAGACTACAAAGCATTCTTTTCACTTGAAAAATAGCGGCTGTATTTTCTTTGACAGAATATGCGCACCTGGCTGATTCTCAAATTTCCCAAGCAGAATTAGCGAGTAAATAGGTCTCACTAATCTTGGTTGTCATAGAGTGAACAGGCCAAGGCATCACCAAGTTGTTCTCGGCGCACCATGTTTCATACTAAGGATCACTAATAGCTAGCAGCTTGGGGTTCCAGGTGAGGTGTTTTTCTTTATTGTTCCCATGGATGAGCATGAGAATATTTTTGGATCACTGTAAATAATTGTTCCCGTTTAGATTATGGGTTATCATAGCTTGAGAGAAGGAATCAGATACAGAACTCCCTCCCGAAGTTAGAACAGGAATAATCGCATCTTGTGGACCTCCTCCCCCAATCTCCTTGTTCTAGGGCCTCCCCCTAGTGCCGATGATGACTAAAGGACCTCATCACTAGTAGCGAAAACCCTATGTTGACCAGAGAGCATTGCATTGTATGACATAGAGGGATCACTCTGATACCCTAAGAGAATGCATGCGTAATTTCTAATTATTGTTCCACAGAACTGTTCGGTACATATATAGAGGGGGAGAGAGATTGATATAATCGCATAAAATCCTCTCTCAATAAAATAAAATAAGGAGATGCTAATCTGAATCCTAAAAGATAAAGCTGACCAAGATAATAATAATAAACTAAAAACCCTAGAGATAATGGGCTCAAAGGATAAAAGCCCAATTCCAACAAGTTTTTGCCTGAGATACTTGTAGATAGAATTTGGGTAAATCAGGTTGGATGTGCACATGGCTTCATGATTACCAGTTAAGTGTTTAAACAAATGATAAAGACAAGATTAGCAATGCCATGGCAGAGCTTGTGATGGTGGCAACTTAATTGTCATTGATACTCAAAGAAGGCAAGGTGAGCCTTTATGAGAGAGGGTGACTGTTAGTTTTAGTTGTGTTAGTGTTCATTATGATGTGAGGTCTTAGTGGGAGTTTCTGTGTTCAGACTTCAGAGGGGTCATTGGTGTTTACGTTTAGTCTTTTTTCTTGCTGCTGTTCCAAATTTTTCCATATTCATCTGTTGTTTTCAGGCATTCCTTAAATAATTTTAAGCAATTGAAAACTAAAACCGAGTTTTGTTACTGGCTAGAACTCTTAGTGTTTTCCTTTCTTTCCTTTTTTTTTTTTTTTTGGTGGTTGTTGTTTGGGGTTCATCTGTTGACCTTCATTGTTCTTATTGCAATCATTTTCTAACTTTCTTAAACAACTAGATCTTCCTCTTGAAGCCCATGGTTGCAAGTGTCGAGAGTCAAATTCCACTTAGCCTTCCACTCAATACTTTTCTTGTAGACTGACATAACATGGAGTTTTTTTTTTTTTTTTTTGGTTTTTGGTCTTTTAAAACAAGTTCAACCCATAAGATTCCATTATTTTTTCCTCGCCCCTCCACCTTTACAGCACAAACACCATGCTCATTTTTCCAATTTTAAATTCTAATCTTTGTGCTTATAATTATGCTAGAGCAAGAGCTCATCTAGTGAGGGTTCTACTACTTCAGCTGCACCTTCAACAAAGGTGAGAATAATTTGCTAATTCTACCATTATTTTACTCTTCTCACGGGGCTTCTTCCTCTGTGTATGTAATGTATTTGAAATCTTTTTATAATTGCAAATTTATAAATAATTTGTAGATATTTTAAAATTTGGTAACAGATTGCAAATACTTTCTGGTGATTGTTCGTCTTCTTGAATAGTAATTTTTGCCCTGTTTGATTAAATTGGGTGTTTATCAATAAGATGAATGTTGTGATTGAATATGATGTTTTCTTTACTTGGTACTGGTATTTGGCTAACTAAACAACTATCTATTACAGAGGCAATAGGCATTCCTTTTTGAGTGATTAAATCTTAACCTTCCGTAAATTGCATTGAAATTACTGGTCCTTGTACAGTAAAAATACTGTTTTTTCTACAGTAGAATATTATTTAATATTTTTGTTATGTGTTTTTTAATAATTATAACACAAAAAACCTACCATTGTGTGCACCGGTGAGAATATAATTTATAATTCAGCTCATAGATCATGAAGTAAACCTTCCATCTCAGTTTATAAGTTATATTTGAGAGAGATTCAACCCCCCAAAACATAAGATATTTTAATAAAAATAAGGTTTCATTAATGATGTTTTTCAATATTACACTTTCTATTAGATTCTCTCTCTTTAATTTTCTTTCATAAATGGAGCATTAAAAAGTAATTTTTTTTTAACCCCGTGCAATACGGGGGATTTTCTAGTTATCACCTGATGATTACATGTTCAATACAGACCCCAGCAACAAGTGCTGTACCCTCTTCCACTCCTGTTTCAACCACACCTCAAGCTCCTGCTGCAGCGTGAGTACCTGATATGATGACACTTAAATTGCATATATTTTGACATGAATGTTGTAAAAAAAAAAAATCAATTTGACAGGCCTGCTCCTTCTCCTTCTCCTTCTCCTTCTCCTTCTCCTTCTCCTGCACCAGCACCAGCACCAGCACCTACTCCTGCTCCTGTCACTTCAGGCACTGCTGTGTAAGTTTTAGTTTTTGCGATGTTTAAACATGGATTTTACAGTTATCTCTATCAACGTTTGCTATTTGAAATGCAGCAATGCTTGCTGTGTCTTTCCTAATTTGACTGACTTGTCTCAAAAAAAGTATGAAAAGAAAGAATCACATGAATTGTTTCTTATAAAGGAATTTGGTGAAAGCAGGCCAGATTCTGATATCTATGGACAGGCAGCATCTAACCTTGTAGCTGGAATCAACTTGGATGAAACCATTCAGCAAATTCTTGATATGGGTGGAGGGAGCTGGGATAGGGATACTGTAGTTCGTGCTCTACGTGCTGCTTACAATAATCCTGAGAGAGCCGTTGAGTATTTGTACACAGTATGTAAATATTGTATCTCTTTTAATTTATTTTGATTATGCGACCTGTTCATTTTAATTGCTGGTTCAGATTTTTCCCCATTGTCAGTTTTGGTTAAAAGAATTGCCATTTTGTAATGAGTACTACAAATTATTAAATATGTTACAAATATAAGTTTTTGTCCATTAACTTACTATTATTCCCCACGCTTTAGTTTAAACCATTCTTGTTTATATAACAATCATTCATCAACATTAGGGTATTCCAGAGCAAGCTGATGCTCCTCCTGTGGCCCGGGTGCCTTCAAGTCCACAAACTGCAAATCCTCCAGCACCAGCTTCACAAGCTGCACAGCCAGCACCTGCTTCTACAAATGGACCTAACGCTAATCCCCTAGACCTTTTTCCTCAGGTAGACATTGACACATTGTATTATGTCATAAAAAAATTATTGTGTATTTTTTGCCTGTTGTACTTACTATCTGTAACAGGGCCTCCCCAACGTTGGTTCCGGTGCTGCTGGTGCTGGCACTCTTGATTTTCTGCGCAATAGTCAGCAGGTATTTTCTTTGCCTTTCTCGTATCTGCATCTGATAGGAGTTTCACAACTCAAGGCATGTCTACCCTGGATTCTATAATTTTATCATTTTGTTTCAGTTCCAAGCCTTGCGAGCTATGGTGCAGGCAAATCCACAAATACTCCAGGTATTATATAGCAGAACGTTTATTATTCTCTTTTTCTTAGGTTGCTGAAATTTGTTCTGTTTTATTGCAGCCTATGCTTCAAGAGCTTGGGAAGCAAAATCCTCATCTTATGAGATTGATTCAAGAGCACCAGGCTGACTTCCTTCGCCTGATAAATGAACCTGTAGAAGGTGGTGAGGGGTGAGGGATCTGAACGTCTTCTCTGCTAGATTGGATTCTTTTGGCTTAATCAATCAGTTTCAGGTGGTTAATTTTGCTACTTATGCCTCAGGAACATATTAGGGCAGCTGGCTGCTGCCATGCCACAACAAATAGCTGTCACTCCTGAGGAGCGACAAGCAATTGAAAGAGTAAGTTTGACCTTTCAACTACACGAAGATTGAATGATAGATTATTTATTATTTGCGTCATTAGAGTCATCCTCATTTAAATTTGCCTGTTCATCTTTTCCTGACTTGAGTACTCACTATACCAATATGAAGTGCTGCTTCTTCCTTTTCTTTTTCCTTGGCATTATTGCGGTGGCCACAAATTAAAAGATATAGTTGATTTAGAGCTTGCGCGTGCACATACACACCTATTGAAACATAACCACCATCTGAGTTCCGGCAGTCGAATTTGAAGTCATTTCTTTCAAACATGCAGCGAGTCTGTTATTAATGCTACTCTGTTGTTAATACGTAATTGATTGATTAATACGCATCTAATGCCTTGATAATATTGGCCAATATTAATTTAAAATTTCCAAGTGTTGTGATGTGATTTATCTGTATCCTCTCCCAGCTTGAAGCAATGGGTTTTGATCGTGCACTCGTGTTGGAAGTATATTTTGCTTGCAACAAAAATGAGGAACTGGCTGCCAACTATCTTCTAGATCACATGCATGAGTTTGAGGAATGATTGGTTGTTATTTCCAGTTGCCCCTCATTTCTTTCTGTTTTTTCCCCTTCATGGGTCTCCGTTGATAAATGTTACATGTCTGGAGTGGACAAGGGACTTTTTTCTTTCTTCTTCTTCTTCTTCTTCTTCTTGTTATCTCCTTAGCATTATAGCACTTGTATTCCCCATTTCCTACCATTCTAGGATTGTTCATGACATTAATATAAATGGATGCTTGCCCTATAGGCTGTTTTATTGTGCATCATTTTCTGCATATCTTATAGGGTTGAGGCAAAAATGGTCGAAAGTTTTTTGAAAGGAGTATTGAGTATCTTTACTTTTTAGTTGTGGAGTAATTTTGCCTTAAAACTTAAGAAAGGGGAGCAATTTTGCCCTGCCGTTGGTGTAACCGGTAGTTTTGATTTTATTCACCTTGCATTTTTTTTAATAAAAAAGAAAAAAGAAAAGGACAGATCTGGCACCTTCCTTCCCAAAAACAAGTAATTCTTATCCTCGAATCAGATGGATAACCTTCTATGAGTTACTATCATGGTTAACTTACTGTGGGAAAAAACGAAACATCATTGTCCACAAAGGCATTTTACATTGGCCTCACTTTACCACCAAGGAGTTTAAGCAGAAATGCAAATGTTACATGGACATTTGCCTCGTGCAAACTTTAGAAAAAGAAACTATGGTTGCTCTGCCTGACTCATTGATCAATCCTGAAGACTCAACACTTGCAGGAAATTCAAGCAGAAAGTTGACTCATCATTTGTAAGAAGTCCAAGGACGGACTCTGCAAGAAACTTCAAACAGAAATCATTATAGAAGGTTAGATTTTACAAGTTATTTCGTGGCAAATGAAAAAGGAAGACTCAGGTCTAAACTTGTCCTTCACAAATTCTTGTCTTGACTCTCAGTCAAGTGGATTTGTTCTCTTGCCTCGGACCTCCGCTGGCAGCAAGCGTCGCTCACCATTGCATGTGCATTCCCAAAATTTTCTTTTGCTTTAGCAATTCTAAGCAGGGGAGATCGATAAAAGAAGAAGATATTTATCTACTGTCATCTTTCAAGTGGGTTATCTAAATATGAGTCAATGTTGGCCAGTATGGCCACTGCATCATTCACATCCAATTCAGGCAACGGAGAGGAACAGCAAGAAATCCTCAAGCATGCCTTTCGATTTGAACACACGAAACCCTAGTGCCATTTGACCCAGCATCATCAATCTGAACCCACAAGCCTCAGTGCCATTTGATTTCCTTTCCCGGTTTTGTGTCTCAGAAGGAGGAGGGAGGGAGTCAATGAGGCTCTGGGTCTCGAGTTTTCGGCCAAACAAGAAGGGAAGTGGGATATGGAGAGAAGGTTGAGAGAGAGAGAGAGAGAGAGTTGGAGGAGGAAGAAGAAACGCTTCAAAGAAAGGGAGATAACGACGTTGGGCAAATAAAATATAGCTGGATTTTTTTTAAAAAAATAAAAAGCCACTTGGCAAATGAAGTCAAAATTAATGGTTATATCAATGGCAGGGTAAAATTATATCATTTTTTTAAATTTCAAGATAAAATAATTTCAATTAAAAGGTAAGGATATGCTGTGCTCCTTTTAAACAACTTTTGATTATGTCATATTAAACCTTGGGAATTACCCAAGTTCATGTGCTTCTTTCCCAAGCTAAGGTCCAATCAAAGGCATGAACGATTTGAATCAATAATCTATTGTGTGCATGATTGATTATAATCTATATGCAAACTCAGCAATTTCAAAAACTAATAAACGGTATGTTTAATGATTTTTATTTCCCAATTTTTTCGTTGAAAAGAGGACTTGAAAGGTTCATTTTTTTTTTTTTTTGGCCAAGGAAAGCTTCTTTTTAGGTCCGGTGAATGTCACTGATACTATACCTGCAGTACTGACAATGGACTGCTTATCCATATAAAGTCCTAAGACGGGCTGACAAATATTGGGACTAGTACTGCACGTGACGAATGATATTAAAATTACATTATAGTCCAACCTTAAAATGTTCATGAAATAAAGCTTTTCGACGACGACGACGACGTTCTCTATTATGCTGTTATCTCAAACTTTGGGAAACTCCAAACTGGTCCCTCAGACTTTTATTGATCTTGTTTTACATAACTAGTCATGAACAAACAGGCAACTGAGCTGTAAAAATAACTAGCTATTGAGGTGACCCAAGGATATTCGGGAGAATAACAATTAGGTCCATTATATTGAATTAATAACAATTAAGTTCTCAATAAAATTTTTAAAAAATAAATTAAAAATATTGATTCAAATAATTATAAATTCAAAAATTTCAATTGTAAACAAGTATTTACATATCTAATGTAACTTTTAAATTGTAATAGTAATTTTTATTTGTAATTATTTGAATTAATATTTACAATTTATTTTTCAGAAATTTTAATCAAAAATCTAACTGTCATTAATTCAATCTTTTAAGATCTAACTGTTATTCTCCCTATATATTAACACTAGTGCTAAAGTAACCAGCAAAACTCCAATGAAGTTGGCGGGTTATTTTTGTTGAAGGTCACTGGTGGATTGGTGTCATGGAAAGTTGTGATTTTGACTTGTTTTAAACTAGTACGTGCTGCAATGCATGGCATGTGAAAATTTTGAAAATAATTTAAATAAATAATGAGATTTGCTTAACATTAAGAATGAGTTGTTATTAAATGATAATATTAACTCAAAAATTAAATTTAGAAATATTACAAAACCCAAAATTTAATGATGTCGCAATGCATAATGAGAAAAAATCATACAGCACAGCTTAATACCTCATTCAACAGTTAACGCAACTCATCTTTAATCTCAACTACAAAAATGAGAACCTGTGATAAAGCAAATTCAGTCGTGGATTAGATATCAGTTTTGGAGAGCGGACGTGTCATGGACCAGAGTCCTGGATCCATATGTCAAGAGGAAGGTCCATCAGTATTGGGCTGGGCAGAGGAAAAGCCCAACAACTTGAGTATTGGGCTTCGTCGCAATAGCAGGGTTCACAGGCCCACTTGGACGTTCTCTCTGTTCTTTCCGGCAGATTCTCCTGCATTTTCTGAATTCTGCTTGTGCTGAACTTTCCGTTTCTGCATTATGAGTTGTTATTGCGTTATGCTGATTCAATAAACAAACTCATTAACTTCTATATTGTTTCATGTTAAATGTTAATTTCCATTTGTTGATTGCGACAGGACGACAAGACTGACCATTTTTCTACGGTGGAACCTCGTTGATTTGTTTGAAAACATGATTTACCATGTAATCGATATACGAAGTATGATGTTTATAGTGGAACGAAATTATGGAGCTGGACGGAGAAAAAAGTGAGGTTGTGAGTGGAACAATCAAGATGGCATGATGGTATTCCAAAAAGAGAGAGAAGTGAAGATCTGAAAGTTGAAAAAGCAGAAGACAAGACCCACAGATGGCAGAAGCAGAATAGGATCGTACGTGACGCATGCTCTAAAATGCAACACAGACAATCACATCAGTTTCTGACACTCGGTGGCAATGCCATCTATCTCTGGTACGACAACACAAAAACAGTTCTAATTGAATTACTACATCTCAATAAATTGTTGGTTAATTTCACATTTCTTCAATCAAGTTGGCACCTTTATATATAAATGCTTTAAAAAATTAAAAAAAAGGAATAATAATCATTAATATACATGACTAATCTGCTCATCTGTAATGATTAACGGTTATCTATGGCTTCCTTCTTGTATTTTTCTTCTTATAAAGGGCAAACTTCAGATAAGTTCTCCCTCTATTTTGTAGCTTTATAAATGAAAAAAATTTTATTGAAATTTCATATAAGAGAATTAATTTATAAAAATAATTTATGTTGTGGGAATTTAAATTTAAATTTAAACTAAATCTCTCATTTACATATATAAAAATCTATTGATTTATATCTGATCTAAATCTAACTTTATTTCTTATTATAATTTTTTTATAGTTTTAAATTTCATTTATCTAATTATTTAAAATTTTAGTCACTCTAACCTCTTTCTTTTTGTGCTTTCATTGTTGGTGCTTCTGCCATTATTGCCTCTTCTCTCATTTCTTGTTCTTATATTTTACTAATTGAAAAATAGAAGTAAACTTCTCATTCTTTATTTTCTTTTGAATCTCTCAATTCATCTCTTTTCTTTTTTTAAATTTTTTTACACTACCAAAACAAATGATTTTAAATGTAAAATTTTAAATTTAAAATTCATCAATTTTAACATCACCTTAAGACAACGTTTGGATTGATGAATTTGAATTTAAATCTCACATCTAAAATTTATATATTTAAAATTTTTTATTTGAATAGTGTGGAAGAGAGATGAGCTCCGATTCAAAACGGAAACCGAAGATTAAAAGTGATGAACTTAATTTTTTTCAATTGGTGAGAAATAATAACAAAGGCATCAATAGTTAAAATATGAAGATAATGAGAAGGATTGAGTAGTTAGAATTTCAAATAATTAAAATTTTGATAAAATTTAAAATTATAAATAAGTTATAATAAAACATGGATTTGTACTTAGTTAAATCTAAATTCAAAGATTATTATGCATCCAAATGGAAGATTTGATTTAAATTCAAATTCAAATCCCCATGCATCCAAACACATTTAACAATTTGAAATTGTTTTGCAAAATAAGAGGATATTATTGAAATGAAAATGACTTTACGCTAAAATTATTGTAATCTTCTTTTGATGTGAAGTTTTATTAACGAAGCTCCATTTTGTTTTGGTCATTTTCATTTTATCTATTTTCATGCCCATACCAATATTTGTATTCCAATAGACATTTCTTTACAAGCATGCTCATGTATAGTACACCCGCTGTATATCTCCGAGAATTCTATCTTAATTTCTCTCCTCCTGTGAGTAAAATCAAATCCAAATCAAATATGCTAATAATCAATGAAAAGGGCACTTTCTATTTAAGTTGTTTTCTTCTGAAATTAGCATGCATGATCTTTTTTTCCTTCTGCTAATATTTCATATTATAATGATCACGAAAGAAAGTTGAGTATCTGACATAAGACGACTCATGTTCAGTTGATCAAGAAGTTTAATTCCTCTCTTTCGATCTCTTCATCTTTCACTTTCACAAGATGAGAATCTGACATGTGACAAAACAAATGGTCGCTATATATATAATAACAATGTTGTAGTTATAATTCGACAGAACCAGGAAATCAATAATGGT